GTAGTGGTTACGAATCGGGCTGCGAACCTTAAGGTCAGCGGTTCGAAACTACCAGCTGCTCCGCGGGAGAAAGATGAGGCTTTCTACTCCCATAAGGATTTACACCCTCGGAAACCCTGTACAGGGTCACTATGGGTCAGAACCTACTCGACGGCACTTAACGTAGGACCCTGAAGTGGTGCTGTGGGCTTACCACTGAACTGATAACTAACTTCAAGCTTAACAGTTCAAACCCACCAATTGCTCCTCGGAAACCCTATGCAGAGTCACTATGAGTCCGAACCTACAACAAGCAACAATAGGGCTGGTAGAAGCTCTGATGGTACCATAGAATAAGCATTGGACTGCTAACCCCAGGGTCTGCACTGCAAACCTACCCGAGAAAGATGAGGCTTTCTGCTCCTGTAAAGAAACTCTACTCAATGTTGCTGTGAGTCAGAACTGATTCCACAGCAGTGGGTTTTGGGTGGTTGTTGTTGTTAAGTGTTTTGAGTCAGTTCCAACTCATGTTGTTGTTGTTGTTGTTATGTGCTGTGGAGTTGGTTCCTACTCATAGCGACCCTGTATAGGGTTTCCAAGGCTATAAATCTTTACCAGCAGGAACAGCTGGTAGTTTTGAATTGCTGACCGTGAGATTAGCAGCTCGATTCATATAGTGACTCTGTATGTAGGGTTTCTGAGGAGCAGCTGGTGAGTTTGAAACCACCGACCTTGTGGTTCAAACCAACCTTGAAGTCGAGTGCTGATCCTATAATGCTACACCAGGACTCTGGGTTTGAGGGTATAGAGGTTTAGGGTGCAGGGCCATTAAGAGTCAGAATCCATTCCATAGCAGTGGGTTGCTAGAATCTCCAAGAACTCTTCCAGACCTGTTATCCTGTGCCAAACTAAAGTTCAAAGCCTAATGAATTAGCAAATCCCTGATTCATAAAAGCTAAGGATATGATTTTAATATTTTTTAACAACATGGACTGTGAATAAAATATCTCAACTTTAGCCAAAATTAGAATAGCAGCCTTTGTCCACAGCAGTACTGCCTAGAAAACAAAGTCAAGTGGCAGGACTAGCTCTCTGTATTTTAATGACAGTGAGTGTCTCTCCTACAAACTGTAAGATGAAGGAAAAATTAGACAAGATGTTGTTCTTAATTTTCTTCTGGACATTTATAGATTTACCTTGAGGCGATATCATAATACTTAACAACAACAGCAACAAAAAATAGCCCAATATTAAAATAAAACCAGGATTCTCCGGAGAGTCAGGGAAGCAGGAAATAACTCAAGGGATTCCAGGAATTAGTGTGCATGAATCTCTGTTTGTTTAACTACATTGAATTCTACCCTAAATGCTTTCTGTCATCTGCATTTTGACTCTTAACAATGACTGTAAAAGTGTTTTTGATAATAAATTCTATAGTCTCAATGGCACATATATAGAAATAGAAGGATGGATGGATGGATGGATGGATGGATGGATGGATGGATGGATGGATGGATGGATGGATGACTAGACAGACAAACAGGTAGGCAAGCAGGGAGATAGGAAGGAAGATTGATAGGTGAGAGATAAAGAGGAAGAGAAATAAGCAGGTAAATAAAATTCACAGATCCACCACGGCCATTGAGTTGATTCTGACTCCTAACAACTATGCACAGGATTTCCAAGGCTGTAAATCTTTATGGAAGCAGAAAACCTCATCTTTCTCCCACAGAGCAGCTGGTGGGTTTGAACTGCTGGTCTTGCAGTTAAAAGTCCAGCGCTTATCCTACAGCACCACCAAGACAGACATATAAACAGACAGACAAAAATATATTGCAGATTACAATATCTCAACATGTTCACCTACCCATTCCCTTTGTGATTTTATAGACACTGATCTTATTGAGCCCAAGTGACAGTCTCCACCTTTCCTCACTGAAGAGTTATAAGGAAGATGCTGAATTCTTAAGACATTCCTTTAGCGTGAATGTAGGGGAAGACACAGCTGATGAAGTTCAGAAAAGTGATCTTGAATGACAATGACTTTATCCTGCCTGTCTGACCAGGCAACTCAGAATTCCTTTGAGAATATTCAATGTACTAGAGAATTTAGGATACTTTCTGTGATTATAAACCCCAAACATAGTAACAAAGGGTAGTCAGCAAAGAGTTGAAGACTCAGGACATTTCTTTCACATTTCTCTCCTTCTTCCCCTTTTCCCCCTGCTCCTGTCTGGCCCACGTTCTCCCATGTGGTCTTCAGACTTCATTCCTCTGCCTGTGCTGTCCTGCCTGTATCAGTGGTTCTCTTCCAGCTGAGACACTTGTTTGAGTAGTGATCTGTTGGGGTCTGTGATAAAGTGCAAGTTGAAGTGAACTGGAATGGGCCAAAAGGGAAAGGCAGAGATGGAACGAAGAGCAGCCTGAGTTTAGCATAAGACTATTGGGAGTTAGGATGTTCACCTTCTTTGCTAGGCTTTACTGCTTTGTGCAGGACTATTCATTGTTCACGTTTCAGCTTCCTCGTTTGTACAATACCAGGGATAGATGGCCCCGGAACCCCTCCTTGTTCTAAATAGTTCTTATTCTAAAAATGCATGACATCAAGATACGTCGTTTCCTATTTTATAGAGAAAAATTGAGCATTTATGATTAAAGCATTCTTATTAATGTTCAAAACCAGTGCAGTATATATATACATATATATATATTTTTTTTTAATTTAATTTTATTTTATTTTTTTTACCAGTGCAACTGTGAAAACCTCTATGAAGTGCTCTAACATTAGAGGTAGCTGGTAACATAGTTATTTGTTTCTAACTTCCAAATAATTAAGCCGTATTGACATTAAATTTTAAGTAACGCCAAACTTTAAATAATTCAGATTTCTTATCTTTGTTTCTCTCTTTCTCCTTCTCCCCATCCTACCCACCCTTAGGCTTATGAGCGGCCACAAAAACACTCAACGCTCCACTATGATCCAGGCCTCCAACAGGACTTCACCGGTGACACCTTAAAACCAAAGCACCAGCAAAAAAGCAGCAGCCAGAACCACATGGACTGGTCCACCAACTCTGACAGTGGCTCCACCAGTCAGAATTGCTTCATCAGTTCAGACTCTGGCAGAGACACTGTAAGCACCAGCAAGATCCCAGCTCTTGAGCCCGTGGCTTCCTTTGCTAAGTCCCAGGGGAAGAAAGGCAATGCGGGGGGCACATGGAGTCAGTTGTCCAATAGTAGCAAAGATCTGCTTTTAGGAGGTGTAGTTTCATCCCCAAGTAACCACAGCTCCCCAGCCCCATCCAGCAGCTCTGCCGAGTGCAGTGGACTTCAGCCCTTGGTGGATCAAGATGGAGGCAGTACCAAGGAACCCCCAGAACCACCTACTATCAGCAGCAAGAAAAAGTCCAGTAAGAAAGATGTGATTAGTCAGACCATACCAACTGCAGACCTAGATTGGGTCAAGAATGCCCAGAAAGCCTTTGACAACACAGAAGGGAAAAGGGAAGGCTATCCTACAGATAACGCCCAAGAGGCATCACCAGCTAGGCAGAGCGTGAGTTCTGTAAGTAATCCTGAAAATGACTCCAGTCATGTCCGGATTACTATTCCCATCAAGGCACCCTCTTTAGATCCAACGAGCCATAAGAGGAAAAAGAGGCAGTCCCTCAAAGCCGTGGTGGAAAAGATCATCCCGGAGAAAGCCCTGGCTTCTGGAATTCCTTTGAGCAGTGAAGTAGTTAACAGGATACTTTCCAATCCTGAGGGAAATAAGAAAGATCCTCGTGTCCCCAAACTGAGTAAAATGATAGAGAATGAGTCTCCCTCCATTGGCCTTGAAACTGGTGGAAATTCCGAGAAAGTTGTCTCAGGAGGTGTGCCTAAGCAGAGGAAGCCACCCTTGGTCCTGACACCTCCAACATGCGCAGATCATTCGCCCTCAAGAAAGCTGCCAGAAATCCAGCATCCAAAATTTGCTGCCAAACGGAGGTGGACATGCAGCAAACCGAAACCCAGCAGTCTGCTTCGGGAGGCAGTCATGGCCACCTCGGACAAGCTGATGGTGGAACCCCCGTCTGCCTATCCCATCACCCCATCCAGCCCTCTGTATACCAACACAGACAGTCTTACTGTGATCACGCCAGTCAAAAAGAAACGGGGACGACCAAAGAAGCAGCCTTTGCTTACAGTTGAGACAATTCATGAGGGTACTTCCACCAGCCCAGTCAGTCCAATCAGCCGGGAGTTTCCTGGCACCAAGAAAAGGAAGAGACGACGCAATTTAGCGAAGTTGGCCCAACTAGTGCCAGGAGAGGACAAACCCATGAGTGAGATGAAATTTCACAAAAAGGTTGGAAAGCTTGGTGTGTTGGATAAGAAGACGATCAAAACTATCAATAAGATGAAGACACTCAAGAGGAAAAACATCTTGAACCAGATCTTGTCTTGCTCCAGCAACATTGCTCTGAAGGCAAAAGCACCCCCTGAGACCAGCCCTGGGGCGGCAGGAATTGAGAGCAAACTGGGAAAGCAGATTAATGTCAGCAAGAGGGGAACCATCTACATCGGCAAGAAGAGAGGCAGGAAGCCGAGAGCAGAGCTGCCGCCCCCATCGGAAGAACCCAAAACAGCCATCAAGCACCCAAGGCCTATTTCTAGCCAGCCGGATGTTTCAGCCGTGCCTTCCAACTTTCAGTCACTCGTGGCATCTTCACCAGCAGCTATACACCCACTTTCAACCCAGTTAGGTGGGTCAACTGGCAACTTGAGCCCCGCCAGCACTGAAACCAATTTTTCCGAGGTGAAAACTATGCCAAATCTCCAGCCTATCAGTGCTCTTCCAACCAAAACCCAAAAGGGAATACATAGTGGAACCTGGAAGCTGTCTCCACCCAGACTGATGGCCAACTCACCTTCACACCTTTGTGAGATCGGGTCCCTCAAGGAAATCACACTGTCCCCTGTGAGCGAGTCACACAGTGAAGAGACGATCCCAAGTGACAGTGGCATTGGGACAGACAACAACAGCACATCTGACCAAGCGGAGAAGAGTTCCGAATCCCGGCGGAGGTACTCTTTTGATTTCTGCTCCCTGGACAACCCGGAGGCCATTCCGTCCGACACCAGCACAAAGAACCGGCATGGCCACCGGCAGAAGCATCTCATTGTGGACAACTTTCTGGCCCACGAAAGCCTCAAGAAGCCAAAGCACAAGAGGAAACGGAAAAGCCTGCAAAATCGCGATGATCTCCAGTTTCTGGCTGACCTGGAAGAGCTCATCACCAAGTTCCAGGTGTTCAGGATCTCCCACCGGAGCTACACCTTTTACCACGAGAATCCATATCCCAGCATTTTTCGGATTAACTTTGATCACTATTACCCGGTGCCATATATCCAGTATGACCCGTTGCTCTATCTTCGTAGGACTTCAGATTTGAAGTCCAAGAAGAAGCGTGGTAGGCCTGCAAAAACCAATGACACCATGACAAAGGTGCCTTTTTTACAAGGGTTCAGCTACCCTATTCCCAGTGGAAGTTACTATGCACCCTATGGAATGCCTTACACATCAATGCCTATGATGAACCTTGGTTACTACGGTCAGTACCCAGCTCCTCTGTACCTGTCGCACACGCTGGGAGCGGCCTCCCCATTTATGAGGCCAACAGTGCCACCACCTCAGTTCCACACCGGTTCCCACATGAAGATGTCTGGGACAGCTAAGCATAAAGCTAAGCATGGAGTACACCTGCAGGGACCTGTTGGCATGGGCCTCGGTGACATGCAGACCTCCCTGAATCCTCCCAAGGTGGGCAGTGCCAGTCTGTCAAGCGGCCGGCTTCATAAGAGGAAACACAAACACAAGCATAAGCACAAGGAAGACCGCATCCTGGGGGCCCATGACAACCTGAGTGGTCTCTTTGCAGGCAAAGCCACAGGCTTCTCCAGCCACATTCTGAGTGAGCGGCTGAGTAGCGCAGACGCAGAGCTCCCGCTGGTGAGCGAGAAGAGCAAGCATAAAGAGAAGCAGAAACACCAGCACAGTGAAGCCGGCCACAGAGCTTCTAAAAACAACTTTGAGGTGGACACCCTGTCTACACTGTCTCTCTCGGATGCCCAGCATTGGACGCAGGCCAAGGACAAAAGTGATTTGAGTAGTGAGCCTGCAGACTCGTGCACAAAGCGGTACTCTATCAGCAGCGGGGATGGCGGCAGCACAAGATCCGAGAGCCTGGATGTCTTCAGTGAAATGACCCCTTCCAGTGACAAGTGGGACAGTGAGATGAGTGGGAGTAAACGGAGGAGCTTTGAAGGTTTTGGGACATACAGGGAAAAGGACCTTCAGGCCTTCAAGATGAACCGCAAGGAGAGAAGTTCATACGAACCCTCCATGTCTCCAGGTAAGGTCTCATTTCTTTTCAGGCTCGGGCTGTCCTGTCCTTTTGTATACTGCAGAGGCCAAATTGATTCACTGGTTTTCAAAGAAGAAAGGGTCAAATGAAAATGGATCTCTTTGCACATGTGAGTTTGCCAGTGCTTTGTCAATGGTTGGTTTGGTATTTACTGTCTTCTCTTCTGGAGGAGCCATTGCCTGTGAAAGTGTAGCTCCAGTAGCTGCCCAGCCTACAACCACAGTCAGTACATTTGATCACAGATGCTGTTCTTAGTTCTTCATTTGATTTTGTGGTACACTTTGCTAATTGGGTATTACCTCCAAGAAAACCCACTAAGAATTCCAACAAGATCCCAAGAAGGCCAAAGTTGGAAGGGAAGGAATATCTGGCTTATCTACCATGCTAACTCCAGAAGTCACACATCTGAGACGAGGAGTAACAGCAGGGATATTGGAAGGTGATGGCCAGAGGCTCCTGAATGCTAACTGATCAGGGAGCCATGATGCAGGCTATGGTGTCCTCTCTTTCTTCTTGGGCATTTGACAGACTAGCCTGACTAAGCCTCCAAAGTGAAGCCCTGACTACACTCAGGTGGTCATCTGTTCCTTGGGCTACAGGAGGGAGCCTGGCTGGAAGCTGCCGGCATGCCTCCTGTCCCCATCAACTCTCACTACCGGGTCCCTTGGCCTGTCCACTGGGAACAGGACTTTGCTACCCATCTCAAAACTCAAGTGTTGGCTGCTCTGAGAGAGACCCCATTTTCTTGATAGAATTCCCACCCACACAAATCCTTGCCTGCCATTGGAGCCTCAAACTTTGTCACCACCCGTATACCATCATATAGATTATAAAATTCCTGTAGATGAACAGGACAGTTAATTTCCAGAAACCCCATTCTGAGTTGTTAGAAAACATCGAAGAATTTATCCCTGCTCCCCCAACCCCAAATAGCACTCAACCATCTGGCTAAAGTCTGGTTTAAAAGGCTAGTCATCCATGTCTAAGGTTCAGATACAGTGTTTCCCCTGTGTTTATGATGTGAACACTTGCTTGTCCTCTCCCTCCCTGGGGAGTCCATAATGAATGAAAGAGATCAGTCTATTCACGAGGCATAAGAGACCTTTCGTAGTTCAGAGAACTTAAGGAAGGAATGTGGTTATGAGTTAGAAGCCACCTACAACTAGCTCATGAGTTGTACTGGTGGATTGTCACCTTAGTCATGAAGAGACCAGTTAGCACTCATGTGTCCTACATCTGCCCAAAGTTGATATGTTCATCTGGGTGTCTAGCTTCTTGTTGTTAGGCTAAGCCCACCTGGTCAGAAAGCACTAGATTGAATTTACACAGAGAAATACTGTTGACTTCTCTCTCAACATGATGGTACCGATCCATGGAACCTATGCTAGCCATGGACAAAGGGTGTTCTTGTTTTTGTACCTTCCGAGTGTTATCTAGGTAGAACGTATTGGTACGTCATTGCTAAAAATCTACAAGTAAGAACCTAACTTAACAGACCTGAGAGCAAGATCTCAGAAGCTGAAACCAGCCATTGTTGTGCATCAGGTGTCTGGTATGGTATCTTTCTGGGATTTCTCCATGGTTGGACTGTATTGCTGAGTTCTGGTTGACTTCGTGGTGATTCCCAGTGAGGGGTCCTCTCAGTTAGTTTGTGTGTGTCTGAGAGTGGCCATGCTCTTGCCATACAACTTTCCTTGTGATGGGTCCACAAAGTAGCCACCATTCTATTCAAAATCCTCTCCATCTCTTCTTTTCATCTGAGTGTGAGCTACATGAAGTGGAAAGAAGCAGGCATCATGCCAATGTCCTGAAAGAAAGAAAATTGGGTTCAAACTGAAGAACTGGGTATGAGACCCAGCTCTTATTACAAACTCTTCATCTGTTACTTGAGGAGTTGGGTCAGACTTCTTACTTGCATAGAATGCGTTACAGTTCTTAAAACCATTTCACATACATTTCTGCATAATTTCCTTCCTGCCATTCAAGAAGAGGTATTTTCTTTCCTCCTGTACAGATCAGGACACTGAATGTCAGAGGGAACAAGAGACCTGCCGAGATGCAGAAAGCTACCGCATTTGAGTCTAAGTCCGGGGCTTTTCCCAGTATATTGTACCTAGGCCATACTGCACTCCCACTAGTTGAGATGAAGTCTGGGAGGCAGGACCTGGTCCCCAATCCAGTGCTCCTCTGTTCCACCCTTCCTTTCAGAATCAAATCCATCCTCTCATTACATGCCTTTCCCTAAGGCGTCTGCAGTGCAGTAATTATGTGATGATTACAGAAGAAAGTAATTAAGGATCAAAGGCATCTCTTTACTCAACCCTCAACCAGTGAAGAAGGATTTTCCTTAAGACCTAACCTTTTCTAAATACCAGCCTGGAAATGTCTACATGGGTATTGCTTCCACTTCCATCCTTACCAAAATTCAACTCTCGGAGGATTTTTGCCACTGCTCTGTGCTTATCTTGGTATTATGTGAGTTTTTTCACCCCACACTTGAATGAATCATAATTGTTGGTGGCTTCTATTTATATAAGTGCATGAGCTCTGCCCAGCTTCCCTGCACAATCTTGTTGACTGTCTTATTGAACAGACTGGATTCTCTGTCCTTCCCCTTCTTCCAAGTGTTGGCCTCTCCCTTCTTATAGCCCCACACGTCTCCTCTGGATTTCTGAATCCCAGAGCATGAAGGAAAAATATCTTTAATAACCATTGGAACCCAATGTCAGAGTTTGTCAAGAGTCCCTAAAAAGTGTTCAGCTTTGTGTGCTAGGCTTCAAAGAATGCCAAGCCCTGTAAAATATGGGAAGAAGATGGGATTGTGCTTACTGGAAGCACTACAGCCTTTGGGGGCCTTTATTTGAATGGAGGTGTCTATTCTAACTGGCTGATTCTGAGGATCATGATTGGGACTAAGCATCTACCTGTCCCCTAACCTTCTCTCCTTTCACCTTTTCCTTCTCCACCCTGATCCATTCATTCCTCTCCTTCTGTAAAATCGATAGGACACAAGTAGAAACATCCTCTAGCCTGTGGTGGGGCAGATTGAGGAGCTGAGTCAAGAGCGGGCTTTGAGCACTCTCTGAGATTAGAGCTGATGAAGGTGCCGTGTAAATGTAAGTCATCACCATTATGGGGAGAGGAATTAGAGAGCCTGTGCAGCAATAGCAGCATTTGCACACTCCATTTCCCCGTTCCCACTTGGAAAATCATTCATTTCCCGCCCCCCTGGCCCAGCAGATGGTTGCATTGTCTTATTAGCCCCCTTCCAGCACACCTAGGAGCCTCAGAGTTTTACTGACGCCTTGCTTTTCTTTTTCTTTTCTTTCTTTATAGTGACTCTTATTTTTTTGATTTTAGAAGTCAGTGAATCATTTGGCCTATTTGTTAAGTATATGTGGTGGTGGTGTGCTGTGGAGTTGGTTCTGACTCATAGCGACCCTGCATAGAGTTTTCGAGGCTGAACATCTTTACAGGACCAGAAAGCCTCATCTTTCTCCCATGGAACAGCTGGTAGTTTCAAACTCCTGACCTTAAGGTTAGCAGTCCGACTTGTAACCACTGTGCTACCAGTGGTAAGTATATGCCAGCTCCTAAATCTCTATTTGGAGTCCTGGTATGGCACTCTATGATAAGCACTGGACTGCAAGGTTGCTTTGTACCACAGGATTGGTGGTTTAAACTCAGAAATCCTATACAGAGTCGCTATGAGTCGGCAGCAACTCAACAGCACTTATTAACAGCAATAATAACAAATCCCCATTTGCAAACGTACTAACATATGACCAAACAGTGGATAAATTAGTTGTTGTGAGTTACCATGAAGTTGACTCCAGCTCACGTGGCCCCAAGCATTGCCTGGTTTTGCACCATCCTCACGATCATTGGAACAGCCGAGCCCATTGTTGCAGCCACAGTGTGTTTTGAGTGCCTTCTAAGCTAGGAGCTCCTCTCCTAGCACTGAATGGACAATTTTCTGAGGTGGTCCAGATGGTTTTCTTTGGCTGATTTTCAGAAGTAGATAACTAGGCCTTTCTTCCTACTTTCTGTTAGTCTGAAAGTTCTGCTGAAACCTGTCCATCCTGGGTGACTAAGCTGGTATTGGACATACTGGCGGCATAGTTTCCAGCATCATGGCAACACATAAATCACATAGTATGACCAACTGACAGACAGGTGGTCGGGATAAGTAGGGACATGTAACCCGCAAACACTCTGAGATGAAGGAGGGCTTTTCAGTCCTCATTTGAGCCTTCCTTTTACTAGGTGTTGCCATCTCTCACACACTGCTATACAGCAGGTTCCCAGAAGAGCAAACCTATCCAGGGCTACAGATGCACACTCAGTTGCTCTAGTGTGAGTTATATTCTTCCTGTTTGGATGACTTGGAAACCATCTTTGATGCTTTGACCTAAAATGACATCAGGCACTTCAGACATCCTGACTGTTGCTGCCGAGGTTCCCGCCAGATGTTAGAGAAACAGTGAGCAGAGGAAAGTTACATGTGCTAGTGCCTTCTTCTATCCCGTTACTAGGCAAGGTAACCGTCCTACGACCCCATCTGTCAAGTGTTTTCCTCATGGTGAATGGATGCTGAGAGTTAATCCTGAGCTCACCTTCCAGATATCAGAACCCTGCCATGGAGGTAGCCGGATTTGCTTGAGCTTGTCAGACTCCACCTCTCCTTGTGGTTTCATCTTGCCTTTTGCCAGCGTCTCCTTATCAGCACTCTGGGGCACTTTGGGAGACACTTTCTGCTGTCACTCACTGGCAGGAAATGGGATCCCAGGCCAAAAATAATATAAAAATCCCATCCAAACAGTCATCCAGATGAGGGAATTAGCCACGTGGGTGAAATGTCATGAAAACTATACAAAAGAAACATGTGAGGAAAGTTTTCCATAAGTGGAATAGAAGGAAGAAGAGGACTCATGGGAGGAGAAGGTTAAGACCAGGAAAAAAGAAAGAGTAAGAAATGGCAAACTGAT